TTAATGTGTATGCTAGAACCACGAATATAACTCAACATTTCAAATCAAAATTAGTGAACAAGTGAATGTGGAACCAATCGGTCATCAATTATACCGATGATAGGGTTGCAAAGCAGTAAATTAATAATCTAAAACATTCCAATTTCAATCCAAGTTACAGATTTGAGTCTTGTTTTTGCCTCCTTTCAGTCATTAGTAGCAGAATAGTATCCATATCTTTTGTGCACAAAATGTATTGCTTAAAATTCAGTTCAAAAGTTTTTCTTTCCTTTAAATATTGAATATATTTCATTGATGAATAGTTCCTTGTGTTTATTCTTATTTCTTTTTTGTTATCTCTGTTCATAATGTTATTAACTGTATTCCAAGTTGCTTTTTATTGTCGTATCTCGACTAATCATTTTGTTGTTGTTGTTGTTGTTGTTATAAAATCTGATTAATCTTATTGAATGAAATTGTTTGAGTACAGTCTTCAATAACAAGGAATCCCTTGAAGAACTCATGAGAAGTTGTAATTTATACAACAGACTGTTGATATCTGTTATGTCTGTACAGTAATAAGCTGAATTGGTAATTACCACTGAAATTTTGTCAGTTAGATGACGTTAGTAAGAACCTCGAAGATCACCACTAAATGAGGATTTATTCGACATCCATTATAAATAAAACTGATATTTCAATACACTATTTTTTTATATGATTTGTAAACAGTTCGATTTCAGTCAGTCAATCAGTAACAACGTAGAACTTCGTACGTACGTACGTACATCAGTTCGAGTTACCATACCACATTAGCACAGATATTTGTATAAAATTCTAACATCAATTCATTAATAACTTTAATTATATGAGAACATATTTACAATATCATACAATTAATTATCTATAACTGAGCTCATGTAACTAATTAGTTAAATTATGTAAGCACTCTTTCTCAAGATTTGATTACATATCATTATGTAATTCTTACTTTAATAAATTAAGTACTTGGTCACCATATTAATGTTATTTATTGACTGCCCCCAAATGCCCTGGTACGGCCGAGAGTGGGGAGAGTCAGCTCTCCCTCTCGAAATGCTCTCACAGGGCCACGCGTGTATAGCCTCTGCCAGGGAAGTCCTACTCACTGCCTTCTCGTGGCGAAGGTGCTGTTTCCGAAAATGAAAGGACGAAAAGCGAATGTACGGCGCTTTAACCGAATCCCAAACCAATGTTGCACATGGGTTCCAGTATCCTGCGAGAACAAATGGCATGTGAACCGATTGTTGGTCACCGGCTTCCATGGGACTGCATCTCCTCACGATGCCCCACTGCCTTGTGGATCAGACCTTCAGGTCGAAGGCTTGGAGTGTGGCCTCCTAAGAAAACCACCTGCTTCGGTTTGGGCTTCCGGGCAGTATCACAGCCCTCACATATATCGAATGAGTTTTGTGTGGCGCATATGTATTTGGTGCCTCCTTGTTTCAATATCTATGTGTTAAAATAAATAATAAATGGATATTTTTATTGACTGGAATTCTGATTGTTTGAAGATCCCCGTCATATTAAAAGATTAGTATTTGAATTCTAATTGTTTCATGTCAATTGATTCTAATTCAGTAATCCAAACGTTTTGGACTTTTGAGTTATATATTTTGTATGATCATCAGTATTCATTCCTATGTTTTGTTAAACTACTAGAATAGAATGATTAATTATATTCCTTGATTATATTTGTCATTTAGTGTATGGACAATCATTCCATAGAAGTACATCATCTTATTTGCTTACGCCTGTCACTCCCAATAGAGTATAGGCTTCCGACCAGCATTCTCCAACTCAATCTGTCCTAGGCCTTCCTTTCTAGTTCTATCCAATTTTTGTCGAGTTTTCTCATATCTGTCTCCATTTCTCGATTTAATGTGTTCTTGGGTTTCTTCTTCTCCTTTGGCCTTGAGGATTTCAAGCGAGAGCTTGCGTTGTGACGCAGTTGGGTGATTTTTTCAATGTGTGTCCTATCCACTTCTAGCGTTTCTTCCTGATTTCCTCCTCCGCTGAAATCTGGTTTGTTATCTCCCACATTAAGTTGTTGCTGATAGTGTCTTGCCAACGGATCCAAAGTATTTTGCGTATACAGCTGTTAATAAACACTTGTATTTTCTGGATGATGGCTTTCATAGTTCTCCAGGTTTCTGACCTTGGTGTTGGTTGATTATTGTTTTCAGTCCCAAATGTTCTTCAGTGGTAAATATGTTTCTCTTGCTTTTCCGATCCGCTCCTTCACATCTGCATCAGATCCACCGTGATCATCAACAATGCTGCCCAGATATGTAAAGGCTTTTACATCTTCCAAATCTCTGTCAAGTGTGATTTGACTGTTGCATGCTGTGTTGTATCTGAGACTCTTGCTTTTCCCCTTGTTAACAGTTCTTATAAATTGTTACGTAACATTTATTGATAAACATAACTAAATTATTTTCTTAATTTTGTATTTTGAGCATTTTTCCTTTCGGATCAAAGGGGGGGGTGTTGTGGATATTTTATAGTAATTTCAATAGTTGAGTTCATGAGTCAAGTGAAGATAGATCACCATGGAAAACCTCAAAGCACTAGACGAATCGTGGATGCATAATGCTGAGAAGTCCCACAGTAGGACGAAACGGTCATCCAGTACATTAGGGTTTTTATAACTGTCTAGCTTCACTTGACTCATGATCTCAACTATTAAAATTACTTTTTTTTCGGTCTCAATTTTTTCATTTACATATGATTGTTTAGATAGGATAGGTGTATATTTCATCCTATTCCATAGACAGACATATATACATCATAATTCATAATTTTGGTTGTCTAAGATTTCTTATCGTTTCTATTCAGGACTACAAATGATCATTTTGTGGTGTTATACACTCATTTTAAAATCATCTACTGAATGTATTTTTATGTCACAAATTATTTACCACATTCGATATAAGGCTAACAGTTGAATCTCGATCATTCACTTAGTCCTTCTTGATAATCATACTGAGATTTTAATCATTACCTACCTTCATATTTCATGAATAAATTAGTTGTTATTTAAACTCACTACCTTAATGGATAAAGCGTTAGCATTTGAAACAATAGGTGTTCAACTCGAGTGTTTTTTTATGAATGAACATTAATATTGGGATGATTATTGCATCTAGGTGACAAGTACTAATCAACATGTAACGTGTATCTTAGATACTACTATTACCTGCATCTACTAGAATAAATATAACTAAAAACACTATTGATATGTTCCACAACTATCATTTAATACAGTAATAATAATAATAATCATGGTGTGAAAATGTTTACTGTGTGGTTTCAATCGAAACAAGGGTATAAATAGTTGTGTAAACAAGTTGTTTATCATTTCTTATAACATATTTATTGGACATATTTTAATTTTCTTATAGTGAATAGTTGATCATTAATGCATGTATATGAATAGATAGATAGATAGATAGATAAATAGGTACATAGATTCTTTTACTTATATCATCGTCTTGATTTATAAATGATTGATTAATTGTTTCTTTTCATTTATTAGATCTGTGAAAAAATATATCGATTTTACTGTTTGTTTGTTTGTTTTTTCGCTTCATTTTTCTCGTTTGTTTGTCCTCTTCTTCATATCCCAATTATGTGCGCACGTATTTATATTCATTTAGTTGATAGGCCTCTGAAATAATAATAATACGAATCTTTTTCATTCTATTTTGTTGCTATGCCTACAAAACTTTCAGTTGGAATTTTATTTTGTTATATAATTAAATTTTTTTTAAAAAAGTGATTTGTTCACTATTGAATTATCATTAGTGTAAATGTTTCATTTCCCCTCTGTTATATTATCGATCTCTTCTGATATAACCGTTTTAGAATAATCAATAACTGATTTACTGGGTTTATGGTAAATATATATATATATATATACTCAAGGTGCTTAGCTTTATGATTTATTATTCGTTTGAATGCTATCAATTCTATATATGGCTGTTTAAAATTAAACTATATGAAACTGTGAACTGATAATTGAGATCCATAGTGTTTCAACTAAGAAGGACTTATTCTATTAAATTTTTAATGGATCCCAGATGAAATCGATGTTTTTAACTTGATGTTATTGTCGAATTTTTTCTCTCACTGGAAACGATAGTCTTTAATCCTTTTATATATCCATTTAAGTCGATTAGTGTAATATCGGTTAGTTTAGTTTTAGCTGGCCTCTATTATTCCATTTTTCCATTAGTGGTTGTATAGAATGTTGATATGATTGCATAATGAGTTAGCGATCATTATGTAATAATAAGATGTATAACAATAATTAATAGATTCAAAGAAAGCTCTCAGTGAAGGGGGATACAGAAATTTTGTAGTTCAGTTACATATTAATTATATAATAAAAATATCTATGATAATAACCCATAAATTGGTTCCATGATTTACAGCTTTCTCGATATTTACTGGGTTATAACAGTCACTTCAGTATTGTTTATTGAAATCTTCCCATTGATGTTTAGAACTGCAATTGATCAGTCTGTTATTGGCATATCTGCATACTGTGCACATTGGCTCGATATAGCCTTAATTCACAAGTATTATATGCTAAGGTGGATAGTGGCTAGCAGTAGAATCCGGAACGCGCGTTTCTTTTTATTTGGGAGTCGTCAGCTGGATGTTCCTGCACCTCAAAGTTGATGTTCACTCTCAAACTTGAACTCAGTATTATTCGCTTCAAACACCATGAACATCATATCTGTGATGCAGGTACATCCAGCTGACGAGCTCCAAATTGAACGAAACGCGCGTCTCAAATTCCAGTGCTAGCCACTATCCATCGTTGTAATATAATCTGTTTCTAGAAAGAAATGATACCACACCCACACATACACAATGGGATATTCTGGTTTTTCTCATTTTCCTGTCAACACTTTTCATCATTTCAGTTTGAATGTATTCTAAATTGTTTTTTTCTTTTTGCAATTTGTTTATAGAATGTCATGTCTGATAAATGGTTAAATATTGGTTATGAAGATAATATTTTAAAACCATATACTGAACCACCTCCGGATTATAATGATACAGAGAGATTAGGTAAATCTTCACATTTAATACATGGGAAGAGGTTTGTAGATTCTCCACCTTTTTTTTAACTAGATGTTTATTCATATAATGTTTTTTTCTCTCTAATAGGTAGATAGAGAGTGAGGGAGAAATAATCGGCGGTCCAAAATTGATTTTGTCATCAGTGATCGTTATTTCAATACATCTATGCGTAGAGACTTTATGAACGAAAGATTAACACAATAAAGAGAGTGTTTTGAATTTCTTTATCTCAACTCTGAAAGTGTTTACTATGAGCTTTAATACTACAAAATCATATTATTTATCAAGGATATCCATCTGTTTAACAATCGCAATAAACAACATTTTTGAACCAATTGTATGTAGTGTAGTGTATTGGATGTGTTGTTGTTTGTTATAGTTTACCTTTCGATCTAGTATAGGACTTTTTTGCAGTTCTCATCTAAAACTTAACTTGGAGTCTAACACAAGACCTCCATGTCTTGAATTATGAACTTAACAATTAGACCACTTAATCAGCCTTCAATGGTCTACATTATCTAATTTCAATCAATGCTATTATTGATAAGTAACTGTTAAACATTCAACAGCCCCCAAATGACTCTGGTACAGCAGAGAGAGTCCTCTCTCCCTCGAAAAATGCCTCACACGGCCACGTGTATATAGCCTCTACTAGGAAGGCCCTATTCACTGTCTTCTCGTGGCAAGGGTGTTGTTTACGGAATTGACAACGGCTTAGTGGATATGGAGTGTTCACCTAGGTAAGTTGGAAAACTGTGACTCTAAACCAGTGGTGCAAATGGGCTCTAGTATCATGAAGGAACGAATGGCGTATGAACTAATTATTGGTCACCGGATATCATGGGCCAACACCTCCTGACGTTGCTCCACTGTCCTGTGGATCAGATCTTTAAGTTGAAAGCTCCGGTTGTAGCCCTCTAAGAAAACCACCTGCTTAAGTTTGGGCGCTCGAACAGTATCCCATCCTTCACACAGATCGAATGACCAAGTGTGGCGCATCTTTGTTCAGTGCCTCGTTGTACCAATATCTATGTGTTCAAATAAAATAAATAACATATTCAACAAATTTGGACTTCTATACTAACATCTTGTCACTAAATTTCTGGAAATTATCTAATCATTAGTGACCCTTCATGTTTTTTTTGGATCTCTCTCTCTCTCGGTGTGTGTGTGTGTACTATGTGATTTTGTAAATTCTACAAATTTCGAATAGTTTCTATACTATATTGATAAAATGTATGGAATATCAATAACATTAAATGATTAATCTTTTAGTTTTTCAACGAAAATATATTCTGTCTTAACTAATGCTAATTACATTCTTATTGAAAGTTCCAAAATCCATATATATTAGTCGATTTTTGAGATTGTGCTGTATGCATAACTAAAATGGTATTGTTTCTCTTTTAAAATTGATTTTTTTTCATAATATTCATATGCATATTTATTTGTATTATGATTTAGAAATTATGCGTATTATGGGTTATCGACCGGATGATGTTCGTGAAGCTTTAATCAAACAAAGTTTTAATAATGTCACTGCAATTTATCTATTATTAGCTGATCCAAAAACAAGATTAACTTTACCAGCTGGTAGTCTTTTTCCATCTAATCAGTCACAATCATTACATGGGAATACAGGACTTAATCATCATCAACATCATCGCCAATCATCTTGTTCCGAAGGTATTACAATTGCTGCCTCGTCTACTCCTGCTACTGTTACAGAAGATGAAACTACTACATCATCGAAAGGTCAATCTTCTTTAGACAATCCCAATGGGAATAATCATAATAATAAACAGAAAACTAATCAAAATGGATTAACATACCAGAATAAAAGTGAGTTAATAAATATTATATAATTAGAATTTTTATATATTCCTTTACAATTGAGTATCAAATATATAGTGGGTCACATTATAGTATGATGGAAATAGACAGATTGTGATATAACAGTTAATTGATTAATGTTTCAATATCAAGAAATATGGTATGTAAATAGTGCAAGAAAGAGAATTGTGTGAAAGGTAATTATCTGTTTGACAAATATAACAAAAGATGTAGAATAAATGAATTCGTGGTAATCATATCCCATACAATTAAAATAGTCAGTTTAACACCATGGTAAAATGAGGAATCGAATACTTTAGTGCGGTTTAAATTAATGTACGAAAATTTCTGATCGATACTACATTTAGGCCAATTTGGCTAAGTTTGTAGATCGCTTTACATTATGATTCTCATGGGGTGGGGATAAATCAGTTGAGTTGGTTAAATGTTGAAAAATCGATCTATTAGATACCATTGTTCTAGTATGGGATCCCGTTAGTGCGCATCCACGATTTCTCACTCGGAACTTAAACCCAGAACCTTCGCTTTCACGCGCAAACGCTCAACATTTAGACCACTGAACTAGTGTCCAACAGTAATAATCTCTAACTCGAATCAGTCTATGATCTTGGGCCTTCATCCGTTGCCTGTGGTGGATAACTGTCTCACACCCTACATGTTTCGAACTCGTCATGGCGTTTCACTAGAACTCCGAGAGTTATATTCCGAACCTAGTCACTAGTTATCAAATGACTATATTAAAGATGGGTATTTGTAAAAATTGTTGTATTTTCACAGTTGAAATCCAGGTTTTCAACGGTGGCCTAGTTACGATCAATTCGTGGTATCAACTATGAAAATACTACAATCTCTTCAAATCTCCCATACTAATATTCATCTTGTGTCCTGTTATTGTGGTTAATCGATTTTTAAAAAGTGGCTTTTACACCATATGGTTGTGACTGTAGTGTAGTGAACAAGAACACTTGTGGGAATAATCGGATGTATTTGAGGACAAAATTACAGAACATCTAACTAAAATCTGAGAACAATACAGTAAATACTTCATTTGCAAAATATCAATCAATTGTCTTAAACTCGATTGTTTCTTTTGAAAATATCGGTCCATCGTCTCAGATTTCATTGTTCCTGCATTTTCATACCAATTGCCTTCTGTTTCCGTTCTTTCCTACTGAAATACATTCTATCCCTGACTGCTGTTATATCCTACTTATGTGGATATAAATAACTCACACCACAGTAGTAGTGAGTTGTGAAATAAAATTTACTTACAGTTTAACTGCAATCGACTAGATACACAATGGCCTACACATGAAATAGAAATATGTGTGGAAATAATCGTATCTTATTTTTCACCAATACAGGTTTATATTAACTGTTTTAAGCCACAATGTTTTATAAATGTTTATTTTCCTATCTAATTGCTGAAACATTACTAAATAGTACGTGTGATCTTTTGTTTCATCAAAAAGTTAATTTATTATATATGTATTTGTGGTATACACTATGCTAGAGATTTGTGCATGTATTCCTAGAAACTATCTTCTAGTAGTAAGTAATCAGTCTTTTATCGTACTATACTACTATCTCATCTCATCATTTTGATAAAAAAAAAAAAAAAAATCCATATATAAAATGCTTTTTATATTGGAGGCATTATGTTCTTTGAGTCTTCATTGTACATATTTTTGTTGTTGTCGAAATTCTTTCTATATTTTATGGAATGTGTATGCAAATGAATTAAGATTGTTTGTTTGTTCTTGTATTCTTTCATAAATCTTATTCTTTTGTATTTGGTCCCATTTTTTTGTTGTTGTTGTTGTAGTAGTAGTAGTAGTTTTCATGTCTTATATATAGGTATGCATATCAGATTTTGTTTGAGATATAGTTTTTTGCATTGATCATATGTTGTATTAGAACAGTGAACTAATTCGTTAAGATATTGTTTGTAGTCATTAAATAATATACACTCATAGATAAGATGATTTTGAGTGGTTTCAGGAGTTTGGTAGGGAGAGAGAGAGACTTTTCACATATAAATCGACTCCATAGTTCAAGGATACTTCTCGTGCAACCTATTAAGGAAAATAAGTGAATGATGATTTGTACAAGCCCAAGAAAGAACTGATTGAGACTCTGTATTTGTAAGGTGTTTCGGCTTACATCGGGAATTTGTTGGGGATGTTATGATGTGGATATTTAAAATACGGCTTTTTCTACACATCCGCTTTTGGAAGGCATCATCGTTTAAAATACCGCTACTCTTAGGGACATATATTATTGCCATCACATTATCGAATACAGTTGGGAGTGCTCTTTCTCCCTAGGAACATGAATTTGCTGGGGTGGTAGGACCTAGAGCAATTGTTTCAGTTAATATATCTCGACTGGGTCATCAAGACGAACATGAGCAACGAACTTGTCAGCCTAGCAGCTACATCACAAATTCCTTTGAATCTTAATCGTAGATAATATGACAAACACAACATTGTGTAACTACATTAATTCATCAACAATATATATATATATATATATATATATATATATATATATATATATAATTGACGTGGTAGTTGAATAGTTCCGAATTTTATTACTGTTAAAGAAACTATTTTCAGCTTTGCATAATTTCAAATAGATGAATTTGATTATATTTCAATGTGTTACTTATCAATCCAACAACCATTAGTATACTTATCTACTGTTTGAGTTATACACATTTCTCAGTTATGAGATCTAGTGATAATACATAGATGTCTGAAGCAAATTCAATGGAAGGGGTTCGAATCTATGTAATTTTGTTTGTTAACCATTAAACAATTATCTCCTATTTAAATCTAATACAAAACTCAATCAATAATTATACGGTTTTTTTAAAGTACTCAAGTTATTCATTGACTTAAAGAGAGTTATAATACTAAAATTTTACTGAAGACTACAATCCTGTGCCCAGGTTTTACATTGCATCTTCTTATTGAACTAATTTTAATTTTTTAAAGTGTGATTGAATTTCAATTCGAAATCTGATATTCAATGGTGTTATCCTACTCGAATCAATAAAACAATCTCTCTGTTTACGGTAAACGAGTTAAACTGAAATTTCAATCAAAATGTAGACTCATTTATCCAACAACAAGCTTATCTTTTATTAGATAGAAAGAAATGGAATATATCTTGGAAGTTTGACTAATATCAACTAAATGATTAGATTTTTAGTCATCTGCAATTTGAAATTATAAACAACACCACAGAATTCGCAGATGACCTAGCCCTCCTATCACGTACACACGAACAGATGCAGATGAAGACAGCCAGTGTAGCAGCAGTCTCTGCATCAGTAGGCCTCAGCATACACAAAGGGAAAACCAAGGTCCTCAAATTCAAAGCGGAGAACAGCAATCCAATCACTCTTGATGGCGAAACTCTGGAAGATGTAGAGTCCTTCACATACCTGGGAAGCATCATCGATGAACAAGGAGGTTCAGATGCAGACGTAAAGGCGAGGATCGGCAAAGCAAGGGCCCCATTCCTACAATTCAAGAACATATGGAACTCAAAACAACTTTCAACCAATATCAAAGTGAGAATCTTCAATAAAAACGTCAAGGCAGTTCTAGTGTACGGAGCTGGAATTTGGAGAACTACAACAACCACAATCAAGAAAGTACAAGTATTAATAAATAGCTGTCTAAGCAGGATACTCAACATCCATTGGCCGGATACCATCAGCAACAGCCTTCTGAGGGAGAGAACAAACTAGCTTCCAGCTGAAGAAGAAATTAGGAAAAGACGATGGAAATGGATAGGACATACATTACGCAAATCATCAAACTGCATCACGAGGCAAGCCCTAACTTGGAATCCTGAAGGGAAGCGGAAAAGAGGAAGGCCAAAGAACACATTGCGTCGGTTTATAGAAGCAGATGTGAAAAGGATGAATTACAACTGGACGGAGCTAGAAAGGATTGCCCAGGACAGGGTTGGATGGAGAATGCTGGTGAGTGGCCTATGCTCCTTCACGAGGAGTAACAGGCGTAAGAAAGTAAGTACCACAGAATTCGCTTTCTGAATGACATATCTTGAGGAGATATTAAATAAACACACAAATACCAACATATATAAATATAGCTAAATCATCGTTAATGGAAGCGATGAATAAATTGTTTGTTTGTTTTGGTTTTCTCAATAGTTTTAAGGTTGAATTAAGAGTTATTTTAAAATGGACATAGTGGAGGTTCCATTGAAATAGTCTTTTATCTTACATTCACTCTAATTACTGTGTTCACATCTAATTCGCATAGCCAGAATCAATTTATAATGCATTTTTGTATAAAATGACTTATGTAATTCAGTTGGTCATCACACTCACACATACACACCTCGATTTCTCCAAGTACATAAAACAATTTATTCATTTTTTTTTATTATCATTTATTTGATTGTTTTTATATTACATACATTTAATCGATAAAATTTATTTTATTTCTATGGAAAAGTAACAACAACAAAAATATACTCTTTTCTTTTTATTGTACATACTCGTTTACTCTCCTCTCCTCTCTCTCTCTCTCTCTCTCTCTCTCTCTCTCTCTCTCTCTCTCTCTCTTTATTTCTGGCTATACAATCGAAGAAAATGAGTTTTATTGATCTGATTCAAAAAAGTTTTTTTTTGCTGATTATTATTATTTTTGTTGTTGTTATGCGATTGTTCTCATTCTGGCGTGTGTATGTGCGCCTGTGTTTGAGCTTTTGTATAAGTTAGATTGTTTTGTTGAAAATTACAAAAAATTATTTACATGTTTATATCGTTTTTTTCTTCTTTTTTTATTGATTTGTATTGATTATCAGTATATTACTTACTTACTTACTTACGCCTGTTACTCCTCGTGAAGGAGCATAGGCCACTCACCAGCATTCTCCATCCAACCCTGTCCTGGGCAATCCTTTCTAGCTCCGTCCAGTTGTAATTCATCCTTTTCATATCTGCT